GTGAGTATTTTCTGTCCTTTTTTTTTTTTTTTTTTTTTTTTTTTTTTTTTTTTTTTTTTTAGTCTTTTTTCGATTTTTTATTATTTGGGGGCAGGGGGTGGGGGGGGAGAGCGTTTCTTATTTTTATTTGGTATTTCTGGTTTTTCTTTTATCCTTTTTTTTTGTTTATTTATTTATTTTTTTTTTTCGTTTGTTGTTTCTGTCCTTTTGACATTTCTTACAGTGTTTTGTCTTTTTTTATTTATTTATTTATTTATTTATTGGCATTTCTTACCTTCCTTTGACATTTCTGTATCTCTTTAGTCATAATTTTTTTTTTTGTCATTTATTACTCTTTCGTCTTTCATTTGATATTTCTTACTTTCTTTTCTCATTTCCTATTTTCTTTTATCATTTCTGTCTTTCATTTGACATTTCTTATTTTCTTTTGTCAATTTTTCTTTTGTTATTTTTCATTTTTTTTTCTTTATTCTTCGCTATTCGTTTTGATGTTTCGAAGGGGAAACGGGATATTTTCTTTTTATTGTTTAGAAAGGGAGATGGAGAAAGGGAAAAAGGGAAGGAGAAGGATGAAGGGAGAAGGAAAAAGTGAGAAAGAGGAAGGGAGAAGGAAGAAGAGAAGGGAAGGGTAGAGAGGATGGAGGAGGGAAAGGGAGAGGAGGAGAAAAAGGAAGAGGAGGAGGAAAAGATAAGAAGGGAAGAGGAAAGATGGGGAGAAGGACGGAAGAAGAGAAAGGAAAGGGGAAGAGGAAGGGTAGGGGGAGAAAGAGAGGGGAATAAGGAGTGGGAATAAGGGAAGGGAAGGGAAGGTAAAGGGAGAAGAAGAGGGAAGAGGGGGAGGAAAAGTTGGAAGAAGAGCGAAAGGAACAGATAGGAGATAAAAAGGGAGATGGAGAGAAAAAATGCAGAGAAAGATAAAGATGGAGAGAAAGATAAAGGAAACAGAAAGAGAAAGAGACGGGCAAAGAAATGATACCAAAGAGGACGAAAGGAAATGAAGAGATTGAGGGAAAGAGGCAAAGGAGGGGATGGAAGAAGAGCGGAGAGAGAGAGAGACGCACTCTCTTTCTCTCTCTCTCTCTCTCTCTCTCTCTCTCACACACACACACACACACACACACACACACACACACACACACACACACACACACACACACACACACACACACACACACACACACACACACAAATTCCAGATGACTGAAGAAAAAAAAAATATCAACAAACAAACCCAAACCTAGGAAAGAAAATAAGATGGAATATGATTAAAGAAACGAGAAACAGGTAAACAAGGACAGAATAGGAAAATTAAAAGGAGGAAAGAGAAAAGAGAATCCCGCTAATAAGATAAGATGGCAGAGAAAATTAAACTTTATTCTCACGAGAGGAAGGAAAGTGGCAACTCTTCTTCCGGAGAGAAAGTTGCCAACGCGCACTTTTTTTCTTTTTTTATAGAGTATATATTTAAGCTAAACTAGATTACGTGTTTTTTTTATAATAATGTTAAATACGAAGTGATAACTTTTGTTTTTATTATCACTGTGTATAGGTAAAATGTAGGTTAATGTAAAAACGTTGAATATCACAAAAGGATAACATCAGTGGAGACCGCGAAATTAATTATAGCATTTTTTAGATTTATTTGACGAAGAAATCTGAACTTTGGTTTTCTACTCTATTGAGATCGCGACCTACTGCTGGCATTTTTATTTCTCTTCATACTTAGAGTACGATTTCTCTGTCTCTGTCTTTGTCTGTCTCTCTGTGTCTGTCTTTTTCACCCCCCCCTCTCTCTCTCCCCTTTTCTCTTTCTCTCTCTCTCTTTTTGTCTTTCTTTGACTCTTTCTTCGACTCTTTCTTTGACTCTTTCGCTCTCTCTCTCTCTTTCTCTCTCTCTCTCTCAGTCTCTCTCTCTCTCTATCTCTCTCTCTCTCTCTCTCTCTCTCTCTCTCTCTCTCTCTCTCTCTCTCTCTCTCTCTCTCTCTCTCTCTCTCTCTCTCTCTCTCTCTCTATCTCTCTCTCTCTCCCTCTCTCCTCTCTTCTCTCTTCTCTCTTCTCTCTCTCTTCCTCTCTTCTCTTTCTGCATAGAGGTTTTATCGGTTTAAATGTGAGAAAATAAGCTAGAATATCGGAACTATTATATTTCATAAAATGTTGCAAGGATTTTTTTTGCAGTCGTGCATAATCTAACCTAATAAGTATCTCTAGTATGGCCTGCAGGTTGGAAAGCGAAAGGAAGGGATATAAATTAACTGAATTGTGAATGAAATATCCATCCAAAAAAGAAAGAAAAAAGGTACAAAGAAGAAAGAAAGAAAGTGAGAAGAAAACAAATATGAGAAAGAAAGAAAGAAGAGTGAATATAATAAATAAATAAATAAAAGTGAATACAATAAAGAAAGAAAGAAAGAAAAGAACAAATACAGAAACTTATTTTCCTAGTAGGTTCGTATCCCCCCCCACCCTCTGATTTTTTTTTATGCTGTACACGAATTACCAT